GTATGTCGTCTTCGTCGTTCTCTATATGGCCTCAAGCAGTCTCCTCGAGCTTGGTATGATCGCTTTGGCATTGCTATGCTCAAGTTTGGTTTCCATCAAAGTGCAGCTGATCATGCCTTGTTTTTACGTCATTCAGGCGGTAAGACAGTTGCTCTCATTGTGTATGTCGATGATATTGTTCTTACCGGCGATGAGACTACCGGAATTGATGAGGTTAAGAGCTATCTTGGCTGTCAGTTTGAAATTTGGGATCTTGGTCCCCTACGGTATTTCTTGGGCATTGAGGTGGCTCGCTCCAAGACTGGCATTTTCATCTCTCAACGCAAGTATGTTCTTAACTTGCTTTCTGCTTCTGGTCAGCTTGGCTCTCGTCCTGCTGATACTCCGATTAAGCAGAATCATCGGTTGGCTGATTCTGATGGGGAGTTGTTGTCAGATATTGGTCAGTATCAACGACTTGTGGGGAAGCTCATCTATTTATCCATGACTGGACCTGACATTGCTTATGCCGTAAGTGTCGTGAGTCAATTCATGCACTATCCTCGTGCCCCTCACCTTGATGTAGCTATTCGGATCCTTCACTACTTAAAAGGGTGTCCAGGTCGTGGTATTTTGTTTGCCAATCATGGTCACTTACGTGTTGAGGACAAATGCTAATTGTGCAAGATCAATTTCAGATAAAAGGTCTACTTCAGGTTATTGTACCACTATTAGTGGTAACTTGGTTACTTGGCGCAGTAAGAAGCAGGATGTTATCTCTCGATCTAGTGCAGAGGCAAAGTATAGGGCTATGGCTCTTGGGGTAAGTGAGTTGCTTTGGCTGAAAACCTTGATGACAGACTTGTGCCTTCCAGTGTCGCTTCCATTCTCACTCTACTGCGACAACAAGTCTGCCATTAACAGAGCAGCAAATCCCGTTCAGCATGACAGGACTAAGCATATAGAGGTGAACCGTCACTTTATTCGAGAGAAGATCATCTCTGGTCAAATTACACTCCATTTGTCACAAGCTCTCAGCAGCTTGCAGACATTCTTACAAAGAGCCTCAGCAAGATTGTGTTTGAGAATGCATTGTCCAAGTTGAGCGTTTCAGATATTCACGCACCAACTTGAGGGGGAGTGTTAGCATATATGATACCACGATTTATGGTATGACTTATCATAATAGCAGAGATTTGATTATGCATATGTTAGCATACATGATACTACGATTTATGGTATGACTTACCTTGATAGCAGAGATTTGACTATGCTATAGAATATGCTTTAGAATAAGTTGTGATTTGATTTTGATTTGATTTAGTTTCCTTTCTTGTAATATGAGCATGTGCTCATTTTATCTATAAATACTAGAACTATGAATGAGTAATTCATATCATTCAAGCCTTTATGCAATTCTCTCCTTTCTCTTCTTTTTATATATTTCTACTGTGCCCATCACATCTCCCATGATGACAGCCCAGCTCTCCAAAAGAAACCTCATAGTGAAATCATCCGGACCCGGAGCTTTATCCCCATTACAATATTCTCAGCGCCTTCAACACTTCCTCCTCAGAGAACGGAATCTCCAGACCCTCCCTATTTGCCTCAGAGATCGTATCAAAATTAAGACCATCCAGCCTGGGTCTCATAGAAATAGGCTCCGTAAACAGTGTCTGGTAGAATCTGGCAATCCCCCTACAAACATCATCCTCCCTACTCAAGACCACCCCATCAATAGTAAGTCTCCCTATGTGATTGCCCCTCCTATGTGCATTAGCCAACCAATGGAAGAACTTAGTGTTCCTGTCCCCCTCCTTAAGCCATAATGCTCTGGAATTCTATCTCCATGAAATATCCTCCGACATAGCAATCTCAGCCTGGCACACCGCTCTCCTACTTCTCTGCTCATCATCAATGCCACTCATGCCTTCCCGGCGACCAATCTCTGCAATCTCCGCCAAAGCCCTACTCTTCCTCCACTCAAGATTCCCGAAAACCTCCTTATTCCACCTTTTCATCTCCTTCTTCAACACCCCAAGCTTTCTAGTAAGAATAAAACTCGGGTTCCCAGACACATACTTCCTTCCCACCAAGACCTCACGCACCCTTGAAAATTGTCCGCCCTAAGCCACATGTTTTCAAAAAGAAAAGGAGTAATTCTTGACCTTAACCCACCATAATCCAACACCAAAGGAATATGATCCGATGTTGGTCAAGCCAAGGCTGCCTAAGTCGCATCCGGAAATTTCTCCACCCAATCTCCTGAAAGGAGAAATCTATCCAGACGTGAAAGGGTAGGAGACTCTCTGCCATTAACCCATGTGAAAGTAGCTCCCTCCAAAGGCAAATCATGAAAATGATGGCCATCAATGAATTCTGAAAACTGTACCATAGCCGAGATCCATCTTCGTCCTGTCGATCTCTCCAAAAGGGATCTAACCACATTAAAATCACCCCCCACACACCATGGAAGACACCACTGTTCCTTTACAGATCCCAACTCCTCTCAAAGAAGATGCCTCTCCCCATCATCCACTAGACCATAACACCCGAGAAAACCCAACGGAACCCATCCTCTTCCATAGTAAAATTGCAGGAAATGGAAAATCTCCCTCTCTACGCATCCGCTTTTGACACCCATCTTTTATCCCACATCACCAAAATACCCCCAGATGTCCCAACAGCATCCAACGCCTCCCATTCAATAAACCTCCCACCCCACAAACTCCTAACCACCCTATCCGAGATGGACACCATCTTTGTCTCCTGTAAACATACCACATGAACACCCCACTTCCTCACTGCCAATCTGACCACCTTTCTTTTGTCCGAATCATTAAGCCCTCAGACATTCCACGAAATAATGCGGCACTTCATTAAAAACCAGTAGATGGCCCCTCCCCTCTCCTTCTCCCTCTTCCCCTCTCACTACTCCACTCCCTCCCTGTCCCATTCTTCCCCTCATAATTAATATCATAAATAAGGCCTCGGATCTCCCTTCCCCCTCTCCACGAAGATAACCTCTTCTTCTTTCTAATTTTTCTGTTCAAACTCCCAACATCCTCCATATTCTTTCCCTCCGCAATTGAATGCATCATCAAACGAGCCTGCTCCTCATCTGGCTGAAAAGAAAGTCCTAACATACTACTCACAGTATCAATGTTATCCTTCACCCACTCCACCCCTCTGTCGTCACAACCTAATGTAGAAACATCCCTCCTCCCTTCTGGCCGTAATACACATAGTGGTTGCATCGCCAGACTATTAGTATCCTCCCATGGGACCATCTCCATAACATTCCTGTCACGACCATCATCTGCCAAAACCTTGATCCCATTGCAAGCCAAAGGTGTGCCAAAATCCCCTTCAGAGTCGTCCCCTACTGATTCTGAGCCAAAGTCCAGCAGACGGTTCAATCCCTTCAGCCCTTTATATATCCTCAATTCCTTCACCAATACTGACGCAGCCTCTTGTTTTCCCTTTTCCTCAATTTATCTAGCATATCTTCTCCGTCCCCCATTGTTATCAAATTTGAGCATTGACGTGTTAATTTTCTGATTTGAGTTTGCATTTAGATATATATCCCAAACTCATAACTATCTAGTGTTTTGTCGACATACGTACCCTGGTATGAGTACGAGAGTCCATGAAACATAGGTAATTGACAAATTGCATTTCTTGCATTTACTTAGATTAGTTTTGCAATGATCTTCATGGTAGTCATATATTCTTCTTAGCCTGACTTAGAAGTCAAAATTGATATGAATTGTACAAACATTTAAAACATTAAAATGTAACAAGTTAGGGTAAAAAAATAATGTAACAAGTTAGGGTAAAAAAATAATAAATAATAAATAATAAAATAAAAATAAAAATAAACGTGTAAATGACTTCCAAATATTTGGTAATAATTAAAAACAAAAATCCATGATATTGGTATCCGATTCCCATTAATGTTTGACCAGTACTTATTATACCATTACCCCATCTGTTAGCATATATGCTAACACCATCCAACCACTGCATCAATACTGTGAATATAAAACAATGACATGCAATAATATAACAAATTTATCCTTTAACCAAATCATCCATTATGTACTGGCTAATCAATCCTTTGCAAGCACCCAGGCAAAGGAAAAATGCTGTATGAAATTTACCTTTGGGACAGTTCACTCAAAAAGAAACAAATAAATTATAGTCCACTGCTCAAACACAATAAGGACTGAGGATCAAACCAACAAGGCCTATCTAATGTACTTGTTTAGAAATTTATAAACAGATAATCTCATAACCCCAAGACAAAAGGTTTTTCATAAACCCCTTTAGAATTCGATATAGGCATAGCTTTTGGTATGTATTTCAAAATTAATTAGCTACTTTGAAAGTGGCACCAATACTCAAGTGTTTTACTTCTGAACCAGGCAAAGCCATAATAATCAATGCACGTCCATCAATTACAATTTTTAGTTCACTTCATTTTGAAGCTTTAGGAAGATTTATCAATTAAAAAGAGGCTACTACCCATAATTGATGGTTCAATGAGGAGTGGATTATATACGGACATAACCTCCATCTTGATAGGTACATAAAAACTATAAGGAAATGATTTCCCCTGAAAAAGCTCTCCATAAATATAATAAACAGGGTCTTTGATAAACTCAATTTAAGTTATTTCATCTATCAAACTGAATTCCTCGTGGAAGTATTTTTTTCTACCCATCCATGAGACAAATACAAAATTTAAGGAAAAAAACTATTAAAAAAAACAATGATCATTAGAAGATCGAGCGTAATAGCATCAAATTCCAGTTGATCAAAATTATGCAAATGGAAGAAATCAAGAAAATACTCTCATTTTTAAAGTATATACCATATCAAACTATGAGTTTCAATCCTTAAATAAAGATTAGATATGAGCGTCACAAAGATCAAAACAAACTACACACATTCAAACATATATACCGTGTGATATATATATATATATAATGCATTTATTTAGTAAAGCAAAAACTAACCGGGTTGTTTAGCCATAGCTGTTGAAACCCGACCCTCGATGAACAAGAAGTAGAAGAAGTAGAAGAAATCAAGATAATTATCATGATAAAGATTATCTGAAGTTGCCGATGGGTTAGTGTAAGGGACCCACAAAGCATTCAGAAAAAGGAGGAAAAGCAAAATGGAGAATTGAAGTTTGTAAAGAAATTCTGAGGAGGCCAATAGCAGAGTCGAGCTGAGGGGCTACTTGGGTTGAGTTGGTTGTGAATAAGAATCCCACTTAATCCAAATCAATGCCTCAACTCTCTTTTGTTACTTTTGATGACTTTTAAATTCAGATGCTCACAAGCAATCAGCAAAAGATGGTTTTATTAGGACAAATATCGTGTCACTCATATATTTCGAAAAGTGTACAATAAGAACCACCTGGCTGCCTTCAGAGAATTCGGGTTCGTAGTATATATTAGGCTAAATTATACTGATTTTTTTTAAAAATATTTTGTTAAATTACAGATAGACGATTTAAGGTTTATTATTATGAAATGTCTTTAATATCTTTATATTTAAATATATATATATATATATAATAGAAAATTCATCTCAAAGTAAAATACTAATATACCCTCAGAATTTTTTATTTCAAATTATGACCTTTCCACCTCTTTCTTCTCTCTGTGTTTCTCTTTTCTGTTCATTTTACCGATCAGCCTCATCGGCAAGAGGAAGAAAGCTTCGACCGCCGGTTGAACCTTTCACCACCGGCGCCTTCTTCAACCGCCACTACCTCCACCAGCCATTACCACCGCCTCTCTCTCTATCTAAACCTCATCCACCTACTCCCACCGCCACCGCCACGTCGACAACCGTTGCTTTCTTTTCTCCATTCTATTTCTCTTCTCTCTCGTCAATTGTCTATTCGTACACTACAACCCAACCCCTAAACCCAAACTATGACCCAAACCCTAGACCCACGACATTTTAGATCTCATCTTCTAATTTATATCCCTCTCTCACACTCACCTTCTAGGTATTCCAACATCAACTGCTAAAGATTCCACAGGGAGGAAACTTGAAATTGTTGCAAAACCCATGTTTCGGCAGAGAAATGTCATGAACCTAAGCCAAAACTTCCATGGCGGAAATACATCCTTACCCAACACCGCATGTCAATTCTTGAAAAGTTTTCAAGAAATATTTTGAGGATTTTCAATGACTACGAAATAGGGTGCACATCTGTTCTCATAATTTCGGTTTGGGTTCTTAAAATAAGGAACCGTTGAGATCGGTTCAGTTCCGATTCTTGACTTACGGTTCCCATTCCACATATTATACTTGGGCTATGTGCAATTTATTAATTTATTAGTAATTCACTTGGATAAAATAATAGAATATCAAAAACTAAAATTACAAATTCAAAACTCAAAAACCTAAACCTAAGTTCCTAATCTCTCAAGTCTCAAACTCACTCCGCGGCTCAACCTCCCTTCCTCCCTCTCAGGATCTCACTATCTCAAGTCTCAACTCACTGGTCTCTACTCTTTATTTTCTCAGAACTCATAAATCTCTTCGGACTCGCCTTAGATCACAGTCTCTATCTTCTCAGATCAAGTCTCAACTCACTGATTCGTGGATTAGGTCGGATCGGTCTCTGTCTTCTCAGATCTTCGGCTTCCGGTCTTAGTTTGGTAGGTATTTCGTAGCTCTCGTTTCTGCTCAGATCCATCTCTCTGTATGTATCTATGTATGTGTGTGTCTATTTTCTGGTGTTTCAATTTGAGTGATTTTGAGGTTTAAAATAATGACTTTTTGTAATGAGGTGGTTATTTTCATTCATTTCCCTTTCTCAAATTTTTATGGATATTTTTTTTTCCGTTGATTTTTTTTTCTTTTTGAGTTCAGTTCATCGTCGCTTAGTGTCGTCTCGAGTACTTTGTAGTGATTTCCGAGACTCTTTTCTTTGAAATGACAACTTCCTTTAAGGGCCGAGTCATTTTCACATTTTTCGTTTTTCGACACTATTTACTTTTTGTCTTTTTCCCCATTTCGTCTTTTTCCCTATTTTGTCTTTTCCCCGTTTGTCACTTTGTTGGCATAACCACACTTCTTGCATTCAGAGTTGGGTTTTGACTTCACGTATCTTCATTCTCAGTGATTTCCATGAAATACGTATCTTTACTTTTAAAAGAAAGTACTCTAGTTGCTCCCGGTGTCCATAGGGGCATAGATGCAAAGTTCTTTGGGAATCTTTTCTTTTCTTGGGTTGTTTTTCATAAATATCTTTTGAAGATATTTTATTTCAGGGGTTTTTAAGAAAAAATTTTTGAAAAATATTTTCATTCTGGCCATTAGTGCAATTTTCATTTTTTGGAGGGGCCATTGTGCAATTAACGAAAGTTATTACAAAATGTCTTATTTTGTGTCTGGATCCTCGTATGGGATTCAATTTCACTTTTCGTCTAGTCGTGGACTCTTAGAATTTCCTCCTGGTCGATATTTTCCAGTTTCATGATTTTTGGCCTCAATTTGCGCCAAACTTGTTTAGGGCATAACTTCCTGCTCGGGACTCAGTTTTTGATGCCATTTCTTTCGTTGTTCTTATTTTCTCATTTTGAATCTTTTTCGTCTATAGAGTTTTTCCATTTGAGCGCGTTTGCTCAATTTCACTTTTCTGGACCCGGCGGGGCCCGTTCGAGGCACTTTTTGAGATTTTCTATAAATAGGGTGCCTTTAGTTGAAAAGTCAGATTTTTCTCTCTCTCTCCTCTCTCTTGGCCGGATCTCATGGCAGCCATGGCTACTGGTCTTCTTCTTCTTTTTCCGACCACTTCCCTTGGTTGAAAAAGTGTAGTACCTTTATGTTTATTGTTCCCCTCGACGTACTCTTCCATTCCCCCTTATTAGAATTCAGTTTTGGCCATTTCTTAAGTTCGAGTTTGAAGTCAAGTTGTGGTTTTGATGGGGCTTCCATGGGGGTTATGTTCACGGTGTTGTCCCCGACAAAACCGTGAAGTATTGTCGGATTCGGAGATGTTTCATTTTGGTGGGGATTTGAGATTTCATCTCAAATGGAGGTAGGGAATGTTTTAGGATTAATTGAGTGTTGTATTATGTGTTTCCCATAATTATACAACCTATATATATGCCTTGTATCAAATCTAGAAAGTTAGTAATATTTAATTCTTTGTATAAGATTTAATTTTCATGATGATGTATAACCTGGATTTGAATTGTGGCATGCTAACAAGTTTAGTTTTAATATGTTTGTTAACATATATTAAATTGGAATTTATTGAATAAGAATTGCACATTTTATTTAATATTTATCTTTTGTGAAAGATTAATTCACATGGCCGTACCTTGCATGAAATTGACATGTAATATGCTTTTAAATTAAGTCTTGGCATGTTGTTTAACATACTTTAATTTGAGAGCATTTGGATAAGTATGAAAATCTAGAGATTTTAATTAAAAAGATTAACTAAAATCTATTTAATGGTTCCATTGGTTTAATTAAGTTTTTAACTTGATAATTGTGATGACTAGGACTTGTGTACTAGCATATGATAGTTTAGGACCATTTAGAGTTGATTTGGAAATTAGCAATTTAATTATCATGATTTAATTAAATTCTATCTCATTGTCCCATGGATTTTAAATGTGTTGTAGAAGTTGTTTCTATATTTAAATCATGGATTAGGACTTGTCGTGAAGTCACTTGGTTATGTTTTAAGCATTGAGTATATTGTTGTTAAATTTATATTCATGAGAACTTGTTTCCAATATTGAATATATGATTGACTTGAGTAATGACTTGTACACTTTGTGTTGACATTATGTATGCCATTTTAGAATTTGAATCCTAAGACATGAATTGTGTGGTTTCAACCTACTTGTGCATGGAAGGTGATTTCGTGCATTATATAAATTAAGTATAAGTTGTGAACTTATTTGGTATATTTTGGATTCTCTTGGGATTTTGTTGTTACATGTGACATGGTTAGAGTTTGGCTCTAGTGCGGGAGGTATGAGTTCTCCCCAAATGAGATAGTGCGTACTTAGAGTGGTATTCCCTGCGGGTTAGTGCCCGGAATAACCATTGAGGTCTCGGCAAAATTCCGAGTGTGATGTCTAAGTCTTCCACTATTTGTTTTCGCATTCAATTTTAAGTTAACAATCATGTTTATATTGTGACTTGTGGTTTTGGTTATTGGCGATTTTGATGTTGTTAAGTACATTCATGTTTATGATTTTAATAAATCATTTTGAACTTTGATTTTGTTAAGTACATTATGCCTTATATGTTCAAATGTGGTTTAGGAATGATCCTATAGATTCATTTGGAACATAAACGTTAGGTGGCGTGACCTACTTTGGTTATTCTAGCATTTTAGATTTCAAGTGGATAACTTTGAGAATCTATATCTTGTTGCCTTGTATAACATGTTCTTATGTTATTGAATTGCACGAATGATGTGATCTATGCTAGAAATGATCTTAGGTAGTTAAGATGCTCCCTAAGTCTCACCTTTGACATAGACGTTAGGTAGAATGAACCACAATGATTAAATCATGCAAACTTGTAAAACTTTAGGTCGTTGCATGCTCATTTCCTACGAGTAACTTTATGTTACTCATCCACGTAGTGGGGACATTTTTCAGGTACAAGAATTAAAGTTGAGACTCCTATTATGCTTGGATGACTTGTTTTCATTTTGGTGAAGATTGGCTTGAAATGTCATTTTTGTTTTATATGTCAAAAACATGTATATTTGATTCTAATCATGTAAAGTGTACGTAAGTACACTCCTTGCAATGTATTTGATGTGTATGACGTAAGGCCAAGGCCCACAAACTTAAAGATTCAAGTGTATGTGTTTAAATTGCAAGTTTTGTTCTTGAAATGTAAACTTTTCCAACTTTGTGGTTTGGCATGGCAAATTTTGTAAATGGAGTGTAATAAGGCCATGGACCATTGTAGCATGTTTAAATATCCATTTTACATTTGCGTGCATGTTCACATCATCACACACTTGCATATTTTGTGAATTGACCATGCTATGGGGAATTTCAAGTAGACTTTCAGCCTCGAGTGCATAACATGAAATTTTTGCTCTTTCTCGAGTCATTTCGGTCGATCGAAATGCCATTTCGGTCGATCAAAATGCCATTTCGGTCGACCGAAGCCTTTTGGTATTTGATTGAACTTCAAAACATGCATTTATAGTAGCCTTTTTCACTGTTCATGGTCATTTCGGTCGACCGATGGCTTATTTTAGTCGACCGATGGTTCATTTCGGTCTACCGATACAACCAAGCCTTGAAAACATGATTTTAGCACAAATTTTGTCCATTTCGGTCGTCCGATGGGTCATTTCGGTCGACCAAAATAGCTAGATCCCGAGAGTAACTTCAGTTCAATTTCAGCGCTGTTCTTCCGACTTCAAATGACCATAACTCCTTCGT